TCTGACCGATAAAGATCTTCGTAGAATATGTAGGAGCCAATATGAGCATCCAGGTTCCGCTATTGGTTATTGACCGGAGACATGTCTCAGTCATGTCTACATTGTTCTCGAACCCGTAGGGTCCGCACGCTTAAGGTTACGATGACAGTTATATTATGAGTTTATGCATTTTGATGTACCGAAGGTTGTTCGGAGTCCCGGATGTGATCACGGACATGACGAGGAGTCTCGAAATGGTCGAGACATAAAGATTGATATATTGGAAGCCTATGTTTGGATATCGGAAGTGTTCCGGGTGAAATCGGGATTTTACCGGAGTACCGGGAGGTTACCGAAACCCCGCGGGAGCTATATGGGCCTTAGTGGGCCTTAGTGAAAGAAGAGGAGAGGCAGCCAGAGCTGGGCCGCGCGCCCCTCCCCCCTAGTCCGAATAGGACAAGGAGAGAGGGGGCCGGCGCCCCCCTCCTTTCTCTCTCTCTCTTTTCCACCTCGCGAATCTTATTCCAACTAGGATTGGGGGAGAAGTCCTACTCCCGGAGGGAGTAGGACTCCTCCTGGCGCGCCCTATGATGGCCGGCCGGCCTCCCCCTCTTGAACCTTTATATACGGAGGCAGGGGCACCCCAGAGAGACACAAGTTGATCCACGTGATCATATTCTTAGCCGTGTGCGACGCCCCCTTCCACCATAGTCCTCGATAATATTGTAGCGGTGCTTAGGCGAAGCCCTGCGACAGTTGTGCATCAAGATCGTCACCACGCCGTCGTGCTGACGGAACTCTTCCCCGACACTTTGCTGGATCGGAGTCCGGGGATCGTCATCGAGCTGAACGTGTGCTAGAACTCGGAGGTGCCGTAGTTTCGGTGCTTGATCGGTCGGGCCGTGGAGACGTACGACTACATCAACAAAACGCTTCCGTTGTTGATCTACTAGGTTACGTAGATCATACTCTCCCCTCTCGTTGCTATGCATCACATGATCTTGCGTGTGCGTAGGAAAATTTTGAAATTACTACGTTCCCCAACAATTTTGTCCAAATTTTGGTCTCAATTTTGCATGAATATAGTAGTAGTACATTTTTGGGGCGGCACAACCTGATCTCTTGGTTTCTAGACGTGATTGGCAGTTTAGTCTGGATCTATGATAATTGGTTAAGTTTACTTGTGGGGGCAGTCGAATTTGGCAGTGAAACTGAACGCTGGATCAGCAGCAACAAAGAAGTTCGAAGCTCATGAAAGCGACCTATCATCATGGGATACGATGAACATTCAGCCGTCTACTTTAGATATCAAAACCAGTTTTTCTATCTAATTAATTTGTGTTGGCCAAGTTTACTTGTGGAAAGTGGGATTAGTTTTGCTTGATTTCCCATGGAAAAGACGCAATTGCACTAGCATGGCACTTACACATGTCCACAATGTGCTTGTCCAAACACATCCTAGGATCTAAGTAAGGGTCATGGGCTAACCACGCGTCGCCTGCTACTTAAGATTGATGCAGTGGATTATAATTGCACTCCTGTTAAAAAAGAAAAGGTGCCTTCCAACTCAAAAAGAAGAAGCAAACGTGCCTTAACCGGCCACACGCAAGAGGGGAGTTGGTGTGGTGGTCTTTTTTAGACTAGTTATTAATATAGTAGTACTCACTCATGTACTCCATCTGTTTCAAAATAATTGAACTTCTAGTTTTGTCCTAAGCCGAATTTCATCAAATTCAACCAAGCCTATATAACAATATATAAAAATCTACAACACCAAATTTGCTTCATTAGAGTCATTATGAGATATATTTATATGTATATACATTTGATGTTGTTGTTCTTCACAAAATTTTCAATATAATTTGTCAAACTTGAAAAGGTTTGACTTAGGGCAATTCTATGACTTCAATTATATTGAAACAAAGAGAATAAACGACAAACGCTAAGATATGCACCAACAAAACATGGTTCCTGCACATCCAAGGCCTTCAAAAGGAGAAGCACACAAATTACACATGGCTACATGCTGAGGCATACAAAAGTAAGAATACATCAAACCATTTAACTAATTTAAGCAACACCGTGTATATTCGTATACGGGACAACAAAGGATAACAATCCTTACATTGAGCATATAAAGACCAAAAACAAATGGGGTTAATAGCCTCATCTGCTACGTGTTCGTGCCACCGGGATGCCGAACCTAAACGTGTCGACAGAGACTAATGCTCTGGTAGATAATAGCGATCCCCACAGTGGCTCGGCTTAAAGGAGGTACTCTTTTTGTAACGACCAACCTAATAAGGTTATAGTCTACGCGTTTACCATCGGTTCACCAATATATACGTTATCGATGTAATATCAAACACAATGCACAATTAAAATGATCCACAAATAAAATAATTCATTACAACCTAGCCCAAGGCTAGTACAAATAGAGTATCAAATACTCCCTCCATTTCTAAATATAAGTATTTTTAGAGATTTCAATGCGGACTAGAGACGGATGTATATAGACATATTTTAGAGTGACATTCATCCATTTTGCTTTGTATGTAGTCAATATTCAAATATCTAAATGAAGTTATATTTAGGAACGGAGGGGGTAGTTAAATACAGTAGTAAGCATAATCAAATATTGATAGAGCTCCAACTACGTCACAGGCGAGCCATGTTGAATAGAGGTGCATAACTCTATGAAAAGTCACTTTTCATCATAATCACTTGTAAGATGATCAATGTATTGACAAGTGTCACAAGAAGAAAAATATAACAACCCACACTAGTCTAGGAACCCCTTATAGGATTTCATCGTTAGTGACATGCCCCCAAAGCGGCACCCAGTTGGTAATTTGACAAAATACTAGCGGTGTACACCTTAGAGGCTGCAGGCCGCTGAAGACATAGTACTACTGGCATGCGCCAAGATCGGTGGCATGCCAGTAGTATGGTATAACCATAAATTTGCCAGTCTGAAATTACTAGTGGTGATTGCTTTACGGACATGCCACTAATAGATGAACTACTAGTGACATGCGCCATGTATTTACATGCCACTAGTAACCCATTCCTAACACGCCTGTGGGTCCTATTTTCCTGCGGTGTTTACTCAGTTTGGCACGTCACTAGTATAATATGTAGTGGTGGTGTGCCGCATGTTATCGCACACCACTAGTATATGGGATGTGGGGCCCTGGTTACTAGTGGTGTGTGTCTACTTTGCACGCTGCTAGTGATTTGATTATTTATGGCATGCAATTTCGCCTGCACACCACTAATATATACGACATCACCAGCTCACTGTACGTATAGAGTGATCAGACACTTTCTTCTTCCCCCATCTCTCCCTAACTTCTTCTTCCTCTCTCTTTTTTTGCGGGCGATCCCTTGCTCCTAGCTTTCTCCAAATAAATATTATAATAAAAAATATAGTGTATGCTACAAAAAGTTTAGTGTCTATTACAAAAGCTCACCATAAGTTAAAAAAAGGTCCACTATATATGAAAAAATATGTATCATATATTAAGAAAAGTTTAGTGTGTATTTAAAAAAATCCATCATATATAAAATATGTTTTTGTACAGAAACCTAATAAAAGGAAAAGGTGAAGAAGAAAAAACAACCCCGATCAAGGAAATAAATGATAAAAAGAACCAAAATAGAAAAGGGAAAAAATGAAAGACAAAAACCACACAAAAGACTGCAACAAACTGTTTTTTGGAAGACTAGACAATTGCCCGTGTGTTGCAACGGGAGTATAAACATTCTAGTAGATTAGCCCCTGACTGCACATCTATTATTGTATTATTGTTTTTGAATATATTAATATATTGATACGCTAATATCTTACCAAATCTTTGTATGCAATCGCCATGATTTATCAGCCATTTTATTGCTAAGCACTTATTTGGTAAGAATTTAATGACTTGCCAACAAAACATGTATTTATTTTGGTAAGTTAATAAACATGAGACAATTGAATGGATGGGAGAAAAATCAAATATGGGAGGAAAAAGTCAAAAAGAATAAGGAAAGAGTGGGACGTATATATGGAAGGTTGGACGAAAAAGAGGTGAAATGTGAACCTTACGTTCTTTTTAAGTATAGGGATATTGATACGCTAAAATCTTACCAAATCTTTGTATGCAATCGTCATGATTTCTTTGCCATTTTATTGTTAAGCACTTATTTGGTAAGAATTTAATGACTTGCCAACAAAATATGTGTTTATTTTGGTAAGATAATAAACATGAGACAATTGAATGGATGGGAGAAAAATCAAATATGGGAGGAAAAAATCAAAGAGGATAAGGAAAGAGTGGGACGTATATATGAAAGGTTAGACGAAAGAGAGGTGAAATGGAAACCTTACGTTCTTTTTAAGTAGTATAGATTTAATGACTTGCCAACAAAATATGTATTTATTTTGGTAAGTTAATAAACATGAGACAATTGAATGGATGAGAGAAAAATCAAATATGGGTGAAAAAAATAAAAAAAGGATAAGGAAAGAATGGGACGTATATATGAAAGGTTGGACGAAAGAGAGGTGAAATGGGAACCTTACGTTTTTTTTAAGTAGTAGAGATAAAGAAATAGCAGCAGAGCAACCAACGAAACGAAACAGGGAACCGCAAAAAAAAAAAAACCCAACGAAACAGGGAGCAGCGAGTCCCCGAACTTTTTTTTAGATAAAGCGAGTCCCCGAACTGGTCTGGTCCAACTCGCCTCGCTGCGGGCGTGGCCTGGACACGCCAACGGGCGTCTAATAGTTTGCCAGAAAAAATAAATAGAAACAGACAGAGAGGTGGGCCGGCCCAGTTGCAGTCGTCTCCGATCCGGTCGGTGACTGGAGTTGGGGTCCGAGTATGTCTAGGGGTTTCGTTCCGTTCCTCTATATAATTGCGCGAGATCGATCCTCCTCGCCACCCCAAATCGATCAACACCGGCAAACCGATCCACAGGAGTCGAGGAGCAACGTGGAGGGTTCAGGCGAGGAGAAGACGATCATCGACACGGCGATGCAGACGGACGTCCAGGTCCAGTGCGCCGCCGAGTCCGACCAGCCTGCCGGCGCAACCACCGGCAAGAAGAAGCGGATGCCCGCCCAGCACGTCAGTTACATCCTGGCCATGCCGACAGAGAAGCCCGAAGAATTTGTCCTGCCTAACTTCCTCCGGGGCGACAGCAACATGGCGGAGAAGATGGGCGTGACGGAGGAGTGGCTCGAGGACAGAAGGCGGATGTACAGGGAATCCGCCGTCCGTACCCAGAGGGTCCACGACGACTTCGTGAAGTACCAGGCCCAGATCCGCGACGAGCTGTTCGAGAAGGGCTACGTGGAGGTGGACGACGACTACTTCACCGACAGGGCTGAGATCCAGGAAGAGACCAGGGCGAGGTGGGAAGAGTTGGAGAAGAAGCTAGACCCCAATATCAAATTCGTGAACTACGGCAGCGACTCCCATGTTCCGTATGACTACGAGGAGCAGGCGAGGCGCCTGGTCGATCTCTGAAGGGAACTGCACGCTTGAATCAATCCAAGTTAGAAGATTGAGTCGTCTGTCTTGCTCCGTGTTTCTATCTAGCTATCTTTAACAATCATCCATGTATCTACCTATATTAGTGAACCATGTATCTATCTATATTTTTAGTACTCCAAAACTAATTAAGTCGTGTTTGATGATCAATTAGTTATCTAGCTGCTGGCCATGTAAAGTATGCAATGGGTGTTTGGCCCCTAATTTAGACCTAGGAGTGATATTAGTTGTCAAGTTTATGTAGTTTGAGTCTACTTCACGCCATGTTTTCTGTTTACTCAGTTATAATTGTTTGCAGAATACTATTTCGTTAGAGTTCCTGATTCTTTTCTTTTCTTAATAAATAAGCAAATAAAGGTTGTTTTCATGACAAGATTGAGTGGCTGGACTTTGTATTCGCTGCCTAACAGGCTAGTCATATATAGTAATTTTTGGACCAGCTTAATAGTTTTTGTAGCATCTACTTGATGTACTAAAGTATCATGGTTTTATGAACTTAACATGTATATGTAGGTTACTAAAGTTTGCATCAATTCTCTGTTGGTCGCCACTTAAATATAATAAACAATTCGGCATGTCCGGCTTCCTTTATCGAAAAAGGCTTTCGCCCCATTTTATATATAAAGCGACGAACCAAGAAAATCCGAAACAAACACCACCACACCACAACACACACACCCAAGGGTACCACAGATCAGCAACATCAACCACAAGCAAGCAAAGGATGAGCAATAAGAACCACTACAGGAATGATAGAGCCCTCCACAATAAACTAGCCACCGCGAGGACCCAAGCTGGCCGTCGGCGCACATGAGCTCCAAGACGATGCGTTCGGGAAGAGTACGACTCCGGAGCGCTACAGGGAATTCTCCCTGGCACTTGATTCACCTCCGTACAGGGGGCGACGAGTCACGAGAAACCTGCCATACCACCACCACGTAATGCTGAACCCCGGCCACCCACACGACCAGGGTTGCCAGTCCGCACCTGAGCCACAAGAAACGCCCACGAATATCGCAGCTTCCACCACAGAGCCGTCGCCCTGCATCCTGACACCCCATCGGCCATCGAAAGGGATGGGCCTCCACCAACCGGCAAACCCCTACTGAGCCGAAGCCGACAACGGCCGGCATGCCTCCGCAGCACCAAACCTTGGACTGGAGGCAATAGGTCGGGGAAAGGGAGAGGCCCCCTACCTACCTCCCCCTATGTTGCCCCCTACAACACCCATCCACGGCCGCTAGAGCAGGAGCGCGAGGAGCCCGCCCAGACCGTCCGTCCGACGAGGAGGGCGCCGGAACGGCCGAGATCCACCCAGGAGACGACCAGAGTGGGTGCCGCGCCGGTTCACACCAGAACGAGCATGGAGGCACCATCTTCCGCGCGACACGCCCGTAGTAGAGGCATCCAAGCCCGCCGGCAAGGCACCACGCACCACCGGCCCGCCAGATCTGGCCGAGCCAAAACCGAGCCGCCACCGCAGCCACGGACGCGAGACCGCACTGTAAATTTTAAATCTTTCATGATGCTAGGCTGCTAGCCGGAAAAAGACACAACATGGGTCTATGTTGTAGCAAAATTTTAAATCAAAACTTGAAACATTGCGTGAGGTACAAAAATAACAAATTCAACACTGTAGCGAGATATAGCTCCCGTGTCCGAAGGATTTCTTCTCTCGCTACAGTATTAGGCCAGGCCGGCACTGTAATGTCATTTTCTATGTTTTTACTGTTTTGTAATGGTTTCTTTCTATATTTAAATTTTCTTCGTTTTTCAGTTCGATGCGCCAGGATTTGTGATGTCAAGATTTTCAAGTTCGATGCGCCAGGATTTGTGATGTCAAGATTTTCAAGTTCGATGCATAGTATAGCTGCTACGGTTTTTTTATGGGTAAATAACTTTATTCCTCATATAGTGGTAAGATCATGTACAACGAGATGAGAAATAAAGTCCAGTACGGGGCCATCCCAGTACCCAAACGAGCTATTACAGAGGGAGTTTTTCGCAAGCATATCAGCAACACCATTTGCTTCACGGAAGCAATGAACCACATCGAGTTTTGTTAGTTCTGCCTCAAGCGCCTTAAATTCTGTGATAGTTGCTGCATCCGGGCCCAAGTACTCTCCTTGGTTGATAGCTTCAATGGCATTCAGACCAATAATCCTAGACGTACAGGCATTTAGACTATCGGACTCAATAATCACTGAGCTACATCCATGTTTGGCAGCCAGGTACAACCCATTCCTGATCGCAGCAATTTCTGCTGATTCCACACTCTGTACATGCGGTATAAGCCATGATGCTGCACCTATGAACTCGCCATGATCGTCTCTAGCTGCTAAGTTTATTCTTGTCTCAATCACCATCCTATTAAACGAACCGGCACATAGAGGAAATACATGAGTGTCAGTTAATAGCTACGGGGCACATTGCTGATATAGTTGTATCAGTTATGTTTCTCACTCGCATTAATGCGGCATGTCAGAAGTGTAGAAGTGCATGCTCTAGCCAATGCAACCAAAAGACCGATCTGATGGAAGAGACTAGGCATCACATTATACGTCAACACTCCCCCTCACGTGTGGCTCCCTCAGGTCTAAACGTGGACCAAAAGTGGACTGCAATTTAATTGCGCCAGCCGGGTCTTGAACTCAAGACCTCTTGGCTCTCATACCATGTAGAAGTGCATGCTCTAGCCAATGCAACCAAAAGACTGATCTGATGGAAGAGACTAGGCATCACATTATACGTCAACAAGAAGAACAAACCAAAAATCTGGTTAAAGAAAGATTTAAAACACATCATGATGGCACATGGCAGTAATACCTAGCATGAATCTGGAAGTCTTTTTTACACAACGATCTTCCGGCTAGCATGTCTCTCTCCCTCTGTTGTTCTTGTTCCTTGTCTTTAACCCCTGAGCCTGATGCAGCCACTCCATGGTCCTCCTGGGCATCCACTAGTCTGACAAATATACATGGCGAATTATGGACAGAGCACCCAGATAAACAAATTGAGAAAAATTGAGAAGTAAGAGCAGCTGCTAATTCACCTCCCGATTTGGATGACTCGCTGGTCAGGAAAAACTGCGACAGCATATCCCTCACCTGACAGCATCCTCTTTTGCTAACTGGAGCACTTGACTATGCTAATTCCAATTCTCAGCATCAGAGCTTGGCATGGTTGTGTCATCCTCAATATCTATGACTATGTTGTGCAACATGAGCAGGCAGAGTTTGTTACAGAGTGTACGGGTTGACCTGCCACCATGCCTTCTTGTTGCCAGCGCATTCAGCAGGCAGGTTCTAGCTGCGGAGTGTCCCCTACTGACCTCTGCCTTCGAATTTGTAACATCTTCTTCCTGCTAAGATGTGGGTAGTCTGGGGAGAAGAGGGAATCATGCATCACCAATTATGTATTCCCCGACTCCTGATCCATCTAATGCTACCTTCTCACACTCCTTGAAGATTTCAGAATCTTGCAAAAGTTATGCATATTGTGGATCTTGTCAAACATGTTTGATTTATCATTTTCGCTGGAGTTTGGCAAGCTAGTGGCGCCTTACCTGCTCGGACACAGCATCAATGAACCTCTCAGTTACCAACAAGACTGTTGACTCATTCACACTAACAGAGGATCTTAAGGTCTTCGATGGCCCATTAGAGTACAACCTTCTCAGAGCAACAACAACTTGATATTCTGAAGACAGCACCCTCCCGCCAAAAAAGGTGCAGCTGTTCATATATATCTTCCAGTGACGGCACCTTCACCGAACTGTAGATGTAGCTCAAGGTTACTTTTTTGTCATTTTGAAGACAGACTCAAATCTTTATCTGTCCTCATAAGAAGATAAGCCTCCTGCATAAGAAAATCGAAAAGTGGTTATACAATCCATAGGTTGGAACACAGAGTTAAAATAGTGAGATCCAATAATAACATATGAAGGGGAAGTAGGTAGCAAGTGAGAACAACAGAAACTTCACAAATGACATTACTAGCAAGTCATATTCAAATCGGAAAACAAGCTATTTATTTTCTCCAGACAAATCGAAAAAAAAACTATTACAAATCAATGAAAACAAGCTATTTATTTTCTTCAGAGAAAAAGCTAGTAGTACATCTATGTTAGACATTACTAGCAATCATATTCAAAAAGAATGATCATGCAGGGAATATATTAAACTCCAACATGCCGATGAAAGGTAGAAAACAAAGAGAACAGTTCAAATAACCAGAAAATAATAAATAAAAAAATACGCGAGCAATGTTAAATTACCTCTGGACATGAACTTCCTGAAAGAGTGGCTGATATTTGTTTCCAAGTTGTAGGGGTCAGATGAGTACAAGACATACCCTTTTCTTGGATTATCTCCTTCATGTGCGAACTAGCGGAACGTCTTGCCTTGCTCAGGCCGACGGGTACGTGTTAAATAGATGGGGCGCACCTCCCATAACAGTGCATACATACGGTTTGGATTACAATATTGGAGATCAAGAAAGGAGATAGAGATAAGAGGTTACATGAGATAAACATAAGACTCTGACAACCTAACTATCTCAACTATCTCCTATGAGATGTGCCGGTCACATAACATAACATGTTGCATGTTTAACACCCTCCCTTAATCACAACTGCATTAGGTTGAGATTATACTTGAAGTTTTCAAAGCTCTTGACAGGCAATGCCTTTGTGAAACCATCTGCAATTTGGTCACGGGAATGAACAAAACGAATGTCAAGTTGCTTCTGAGCAACTCTTTCTCTGACAAAATGAAAATCTATCTCAATGTGTTTAGTCCTGGCATGAAACACTAGATTGGCTGAGAGATAAGTAACACCAAGGTTATCACACCACAGACAAGGAGCTTGTTTACTCTTTATACCAAGTTCCTTTAACATGGACTGAACCCATATGATTTCAACGATGGCATTTGCCTTGTATTCTGCCTCAGTACTGGATTTGGAGATTGTGGCTT